TAGCCTATGTGTTACAGCCTCTACTTTCTGGAAAATGGCTCTAGTTCAGGAGAGGATCAAGACACTCCTCTTCCTCCAAAGAGGCCCTGTTGCCAAATTGCAGAGCTTGTGGTTGAGGTGAGAACAGGGCCAGAAGAAGGTTCTGAGGCCATAGCTGAAGGAGAGTAGAAGGAGCCTAGTTAGTACCAACATCTGGGCTGAGATGCGTAAGCTTAGAAAAGGGACACTGAGTTTGTGGTTGGAAGAATCCCAGCAAATGGGAGAGATTGCTGGAAGAAAGAATAACTTTGACAACATATTCTGAGTAAAAGGCAGAACTCCATTTATGGGATCCAGTGATCCTGTTGTGGCCAAGTGTAACAGTGAGAAATACACTGACCAGCTTTCTTGCTGTGATGTCACCTTGAAGTGTAATTAGGTGTACTAAAAGCCCTAATAAGTCTTAGACTTACCTTTTTTTTTTTTTTAAAGATTGTATTTATTTATTTAACAGAGAGAGAGAGGGAGAGAGGGAACACAAGCAGGGGGAGTGTGAGATGGAGAAGCAGGCTTCCTGCTGAGCAGGGAGCCGGATGCGGGCTCGATCCCAGGACCCTGGGATCATGACCTGAGCCAAAGGCAGATGCTTAACGACTGAGCCACCCAGGTGCCCCTGAATTTATCTTTTTTGAACTTCTCTAGGTTTCCATCTTCGTAACTCTTGCTGTCAAGTTCTAACATTTAAAATTTTTTAAATAAAAAAACTACTTCAGCTTAATATTTTTATGTTTCACTGGATAGCTTAAAAACATTTTTATTGACTATGTGTGTTTTTGTTTTAAATATATATATACAGTTAACCCTTAATCAACACAGGTTTGAACTATGTGGGCCTACTTATATGTGGATTTTTTTCAGTTAATATAGTGCAATACTGTAAATGTATTTTCTCTTCCTTAAGATTTTAATACATTCCTTTCTCTAGCTTACTGTATTTTAAGAATGAGGTATATAATACATATAACATACAAAATATGTATTAATGGACTGTTTATGTTATCAATAAGGCTTCTGGTCAACAACAGGCTATTAGTAGTTAAGTTTTTTGGGAGTCAGAAGTTATATGTGGATTTTTAACTCTGCGGGGGTTGGGACTCTTAGCCCGTGCATTGTTCCAGGGTCAACTCAACATTATTTCAGTTATGTTACGGTTCACGTAGAGTTTTATAGAAGAGCCTGGAAACCTCTAATACTGTTTCCATGGGAAATATGTTCATCCTACAGATAAACTTTTGAAACTCATCTGCCTATAAATTGAGACTACCTTTTATAAAAGAATACCCCTTAGGTGATAAAATAAATAATTTTAAGATTATTTGTAGTGTTCTTTTATTCATGTTATGTCCTTTTCTATTCTTAACAATAATTAAGAATTAGTTTAATTTAAAGCCAATATTTTTCATCCTATTTTATAATTGTTTTGGGTACATGAAAGGTTCTTATTTGGATAAGGTATGTATAAACAGTGAATATTCCCCAATGCAGTACAATAAATGGCTTCAGAATGCCTCATCATACCCTATTCTCTGTAGCTTTTTAGCTTTCAGATGTCTTTCTGGTGTTAAAGTATTAAGCCCTCAGAAGGTACTATCATTTAAATAGTCAAGACCAACTGTCCTATCACATATTTTTAACTTTTTTACTATAAATATTCATGATAGAAGATGTCCAGTTTCTTAACTCAGAAAGGGAACTCTTTTGAGATTTACTAAGAGGCACAGTCACTTGTTTGCAATGTTTTTAAAAGTCAGTACTTTTTCCTTTTACTCTCTCTCCTCATCCCTGTCTAAAGTACCTGTTTATCTACTTATTTTATTGAGATACAGTTCACATAACATAAAATTAACCATTTTAAAGTGGACAATTCAGTGGCATTTAGTATATCTATAACCACCACCTCTATCTAGTTGTAAGACACTTTCGTCATCCCAAAATAAACCCTGTACCTATCAAGCAGTTATTCCCCAATTTTTTCTCCCCTCAGCCTCAGGGTGCCATTTTAAAATTTGAAATTGAGAAATTAAAAAATTAATAAAACTTTTTGAGGTAATTGAGATATTATAAGACTAAATACAGAGTATACTGTTCTAAATTCAATAACATGCAGAAATGCATTTAATATACCGACAGTGGAGGGACGCCTGGGTGGCTCAGTTGATTAAAGCATCTGCCTTCAGCTCAGGTCATGATCTTGGGATCTTGGGATTGAGCCCTGCATCTAGCCGCATTGGGCTCTCTGCTCAGTGGGGAGTCTGCTTCTCCCTCTCTCTCTGCCCCCCACTAGTGCTTGCGCTCTCTCTTTCTCTCTCTCAAATAAATACAATCTTTTAAAAAATAATATATTGACAGTGGAGAAGTTAGATCATGAAATTATATGTGCTGTGTGTATATTTACAACTATAAGGGGGAACAAAGGAACGCTTGATAGAAAACACACTAAAGTAACAGTGATTTTGCTCTAGATTTTCTTTTTCTCATTTAAAGGAGGAAAAAATCTTCCATAATTAAAATGAAAACAAACTCTAGATGTCAAAAACTTGGGCCTAAACTTACTATTGTAACATAATTATTTATTTCAGGTTAATATTAAACTTCAACAGCTTTTTTTTCCAGATTGAGTTATGGTGTTTCTTAGCATTTACTAAGAGAAAAAGAGATTTGCTGGAGGAACAAAACAGTAATATTCTTAGTTTTTCAGTCCTCCAAATTATATCTCAAAACATGAATACCTATTTCAAGTAAGCTGTGTTCTAATTTATTTTTCTTTAAAAAATATACTTTATAGAACTTTCTTTTCAAACTATAAAAACATATTCTTTCAAGAATTTTTTTATTTAATTCAATTCAATTAATTAACATATAATGTATTATTGGTTTCAGAGGTAGAGGTCAGTGATTCAAAATCTTATACCCAGTGCTCATTACATCACGTGCCCTCCTTAATGCCCATCACCTGCAACCCTCAGTTTGTTTCCTATGATTAAGAGTGTCTTATGGTTTTGTCTCCCTCTGATTTTGTCTTGTTGTATTTTTCCCTCCCTTCCCCTATGCTCCTCTGTAAAAACATCATATTCTTGTTGATACAAATCAAAAGTACGGGGGTGTACAAATAAAAAGCCAACAGTCTCCTCTCAAATGTGGTCTTTTCGTGTACCTGCCTGTAATAATTGTTGTTAGCAGTTTGGCAGGTATTCTTGGCCTTTCGGTCATGTAGCTTACATGCACATATAATAAAATTGGACCCAAATGAGTAAAAAACTCAAATGCTTTCATGATGGCCCTGGCAGTTAATGTAAATGTGTGAATGCACTAAGGAAAGGTAGGACCCTTGCTTGCCAGAAGGGAATTTTACCATGCAGTTTTCATATTTAAAAACAGTTAGGGCCCTGTGCTGGCCAGACAGGCAGAATCCCTTGGGCAGTGTATCATTGTGCTTTCCTATTCTTCCTTGCCCATCTCTTCCCTCCCAGAATGAACGCATGTCAGAGATTTATTTAACTCATTAATGAGGAAACCAGCAGGATGGTAAAGCTGATTCTAGAAGCATTTGAGGAATTGCGTGTATGCAGGTATTAAAGAAAGAACATTGAAATAAATTGCTAAACTCAATATAAAATTAGTTATTGTCCTACTGGGTGGTAAAACCATTACCTTTGGAGCATGCTGAACAGATACTATCTCTACGAAATAAAAATCTATAAGTTTGCCTGTAACGTCATAGAATTTGGGTCCTAATCAGAAGTAAACAGCAGATCAAACTATTATTAATAAAATATCTTTGGGAGGATCTATTAAACAATGTTTCATTATACATCGAAAGGGCTTACAGTTCTTGATGAATCTTTTTTCCAGTTTTGGTTAATTTTTCTTAACAGGGAGAAAGGCCTGTTGTGATGTATAAGGCAAGAGCAGTACAGTAGGGACCAGAACTTGGAAGCGCTTGGTGTCTTAAACTAGGAGATTTGACCTTTCAACAAGTGTTTATTGAGCACATACTATGTGCCAGGCGGTGAATTTATTGTACTCCTGAGTGTGTGGTTGTGCTGTGGTGCCCCTCCCATACCCCTAGGATGTGGACTTGTGGTTCTCAGGGGGTTGTATTAGGTAGTCACCTGGGAAGCTACTTTTCTCAAAATACCCATGTTCTTTGTCCTCTGTCCTGACCCCAATGTAGATATCTCTGCCTGAGTAGAACATACGCATTTTGAAATAGCTTTCCAGGTGATTTTTATGCCCCTTCCCTTTTGAAAATCATTGTTATGTTTATTGGGCTCTTTTTTTTTTTTTTTTTAGGTTGAATGAGTAAACCACAAGCAAAATTATAATCAGTGTTTTTAAAGTTTTCATTCTTTTCTTGCCTACCTCATTCCTGTAATACTAAAACTAAAATAATTAATGTCTTGATTATACGCTCAGCAAGAATTAAATGCAGTTGTCATATTTAGAATTATATTTTATGCAACGAAGACATTAATTTGGGAAGAACTGGATTTAGTCTTCCTAATTGTATCTTTAGGTTATGCCTCTCATTAGGTAAACAAAGAGTTGTCATTTATAGTAGTATGTAATCTGCCTGGCAAAGACTTGTGATTAAAAAATTAGACTTAAAAAATGTTTTTAAGAGAAAATAGACTGTCATTAGCTTGTTGGAGACTGTGGCAAAAAGAAAGAAATCATAAAGGAAAAAAGCATATATACGTTTAACCTGTGGTTGAACTATTTGAGTCAGCGGTTCAAATGAGCAGCTGTCGTGGGCGTGCATTTCAGTTCTTTTCAGTATAACTGTAATTGGGCAGCCTTTCTGTGTAAATGCACTCACAAAGCAGAAATCTGTGATTTCGGTACCCCCGGGCAGCCATGGCATTTATAACTCAATCCCAGGGTGTGCCCTTACAGATTAGGGGAGAAGCTGGGAAGTAACACGATGCAATTGGTATATTGTGTATTTTTCTTTTTATTAGTGTGCCGCTCCAACAAAAGCCCCTGGGTCTGTTTGACTTGTTCAAGTGTCCACTGTGGAAGGTAGGTGCCATACTTACTATCTCACTACCCTACTTGCTTTTTTCAGTTTGCCGTTGGGCTTTATGTCAGGGCTTCAGTGACTTGGATTTATTAGCACCATTGCTTAACCGTTGTATGTAATTCTCTGTAAGTCTTCCCTTCCCAGTAGGGTCTGTTCGCTCAGTGATACCACTGGGGAAGACCTAGGGGGGGAGACCCTTTATTTATGTTGGTACTCAGAAGAATTAATTCGATGATCAGATAATCCAGAAATAGTTGATTGAAAAGATGAAATGAGGGCACTTTGAATTCTTTAGATAAAGGTTTACCTTAATGGTTGTTTGTTAAACCTTCTAATAGGGTAAATTTAAGCATATACAAAAGTATAGAGGTAATATAACTGAACTCCATTATTTTCATCACCCAGCTTCAACAGTGATCAGTACATTGCCAAACTTGTTTCACCTATTACCTACACTGTTCCCAGCTTTACTGATTTTTGAATCAAATTCCAGATATCACATCATTCTTCTGAAAACAAAACAACAAAATGTTCATAAAGGAATTCCCTTGAAAAGGGTCTCGTTGTGGAGTTCATTATTAATTGCTGTTGAAGATGTACCAAATGTTTCATTGTTCCATTAAGATATTTTTGTTTTCCAGGGACTTAACACCCCCTACCCCCCAAATTTTGTTCAAGCCTGAGCATTTCCTCCCCTTTCTTGGCTTCAAAATGATGTTACTTAAATACTTAAGGAACTTTTTTCTTCGAACTCAAACTCAAATAAATATCACCCTTTGCATTCTTTTAGCTTGACAGCACATTTATTTCTATTGCTCTTTTAACTTAGAAAATCCACTTTGAATTTACTTAGAAGTATAGCTTAGCAGCAAGGGAATGGGAAATCATACTGTCACACGGGCTGAAATCTACATTGTATTTATTAGAACTATTTCCCCATTGTTATTTTTAAACCCTCATTGCATGAAGAGAGCATCTGTGTTCAGTTAACTTTTGATTTTTCACATTTTGAGCCATGGAATTGAGTATTTTTTCCATGTACACTTAAAAGTACCTTTGGAAAATGTTAACTGCATATCTTAATTGTGGCTGTTGTGGTTTTGAAATCTCTAGGATTTGGGGACCCTGAAAATACTTTGTACAGATAACATTTAAAAAAAAAAAAAGAAGAAAAGTAGAAGCACTTAAATTCTGCACTTGAAGAGACAGATTCCTCTCCTAGATTTTGAGAGGTGAGAATTATAATGCAATAAAATTTATATAGTTCTGTTCTCCAGTTGTCTCATAGTGCTCTACGGCCTGAATCTTGAAGGTCATATGCCAACAAAAAGACCTGACAAACTCTCAAAAATTGGAGAGGTTAATGTTCTTAATAGCAAGGGACAAATAGTTCTCTAAGTAGGTTTTGGAAAAATAAATTGAAAAATTTCTAGACTCTGCAGGTAGTCTGTTTCCAATTGTAAGCAGTCTTAAATTTAGAAATTTAACGTAGTTTCAGAGAAATATGATTAAGTAGATTAAACAGATAATGGGAGTAGCTTGCATTTGGATCTTCTTTTTACATAGCTAATTGGTTAATTTTCTTTTATCATGTGACCCTGGATGTTGATTGCCAAGAATCCTGATTTTTCAGTAATTCTAGGCCTGTTTTCTGCAGAAAGTCTTAAATTGATTTTCCTTCAATTTATCAGTAGCATGTTTGAGTTGTATATTCTGTAGGCCTTCACGACATCATCCCATTTATTTTTCAAATTTTTGTGATTATGGTTAGAAATCTGTGACATATATATTGATGCTTTTCCTTTTTAGACCAAATTGCCCAGTTAAAATCTAAAATTAGATGAGGGAAATATTTATCCAGTTTATACATAATTGTTAACTTCTGAGTGATGTATTTGAATATTAGCCAAAATATTACTAATCTTAATGTCAGCAGTCATATACTAATTACTTTTCAGCAACACCTACAGTAACCATTTAAACGTCTAGTACATTTAGAGACTCTACAGTGTGGTGGCTAAATGAACTATATGTACTATGTTTCAAAGACCTAAAAGTAGGTGCCTTATTATCATTGTTCAGTATTGCTTTTTCTTTGATTTTGAAGGTGCTCATTATAAATATTAACTTTTGTTTCTCATGGCACAGTATAAATTCTATAAGCATAGGAAATTGAGCCGATTAGATATGGAACCTATACGATGCCTTGGAGTTTACCTTTTTAATTAAGTATTGGGTGTTTCTTGACCTACGCAATGTATGTGCTTAATATGACCACTTTCTAAACAATTATATTGTTCGAATTCTGAATAAATAGTTAAGCATATAAAGGAAAACATGAATAAAATAATTACCAACATCTATTCGTTCATTTATGCATTCTGAGCCATGAATTTCTTAATCACCCAACAACTCATGAAATATAAGTACTATTATCTCCATTTTTCAGATGAGAAAATATAAGTGCAGAGAGGTTAAGTAACTCATCTAAGCTCACGTGGCCAGCATGTGACAAAGCTACTTTTGAACTCAGGCAGTCTAATTTTTGAGCTTATACTCTTAATCATTATTTTATTTTAAAATTGATTTTACTTTTGTGGACAGAGGACCCATATACACACGATTTTTGGTTATGTTTACTATAATGAAAAAATGGGGAAAAAACATCAAAATCTAAGCTGAGGTTAGTAGTGCCCCTAATGCTTCCACCTTTCCTAAGGTAGAGGCTGGGCCTGAAGTTGTCCTCCCTCTACCGCAGTTGTTCTACTTTCCCCAAGGTGAGTGTTGCTCCTGGTATAATTAAGGCGCCTCATGACAAAACATTACTGTAACTCTCTGAGTATGTTTATTTTAGTACCATTTGACCAACATCTGTTTTGACTGAGTTTTCAATAAGGCCTTGCCTTCTGTAAATTGACAACTTTCTAGGAACTGGGAAGTTTTGTTTTATAAGGGTCTTCATAGTACTGGCCAGTTACAACATTGTACAGTATTTAGGTGGAGGTTTGGAGGAACTTGGGTGTGTGCGCCATATGCATTATTTCAGTTTCATTCTGCTTTCTGTAATACACTGATTTATTAAATCTGATAGAAAGTGTTAGAAAATTGTTATGAATATAGTCAACCTTTAATTATCTTTGTCCGTTTAAAGAAATAGTTTATATAAGCTTAAGATGATTTGTACTTTGTATTGTTTCTAAACAAATGTGTTTACATATGAGTGGAGCTAATTATTTAGGCATTTGAATAAAATATCTGAAGCCATATTGATGAGAAAGAGAAGATTATCCTGTTTCCCTATCTGACTTTCACCTTTTACATAAACAGCCGTCCAAGCACAGTCTGTGGCCCTGTGGGAAGTGGTTGAGTGATTTAGTTTACAAATCTTGCCTTTGAGAATAACCTGAGTTGGTTAGCAGTCTGAGAAAAGCTTAAAAAAAAAAAAAAAAAGAACAAAGCTATAGCAAAAGCATCAGCAAAGGAGTTGATAAGTGATAATTGTCGTGATATTGAAACTGATTGGCATAGATGAGCCTTTCCTTGCCTGGCCCTAATCTTGTGTGTAATTAAAAGTTGACTGTCATGTTTGATTGCAAAAAAGCATATTTTAAGCACTAAGCTTAATCACTAACTAATTGAATGCTCTTTAGGATTGAATGCTCTTATAAGGAGGAATTCTTTCTCATTCTAATTTGATTATCATCTAATTTTATTATCTACTATTTTAACTTCCAAAGCAATATTTAGATTAAAATAAAATTTTATTTGGTTTTAAGGTATGTGAATGGCCATGCAAAAAAACATTATGAAGATGCACAAGTACCCTTAACTAATCATAAGAAATCAGAAAAGCAAGATAAACCTCAGCATACAGTGTGTATGGATTGCAGTAGCTACAGTACCTACTGGTAAGTATTAATATTTTCTGGAGATGATATTCCTTACTCAGTGTCTGCAAGTGTTTCCTCATTTCCCTCACTCTTTCCCCTCCCCCATCAATCTCTAAACCAGTTGCTACAGCCGTTACCTCCTTTTAGTTTTGTTAGGATGCATAGGGGATTGGAGCTATCAGGAATGCCTGTCTTTATTCATTCAGATTTTCTCTGCATTGTTCCCTTCAACTTCTGGGCCTCCTCTTTCCCACCCGCTCTGTTCCTTGTCCATCCTGATAAGCTTCAGGGCAATGAAAAGTATTTCTTTGTGGTTGTTCTTTATAATTATTTTTCTTATTTTGTTTTTAATTGAAGAATAATAAGATAAACACTCGTGTTCAAAACAAAACAAAACAAAACCCAAGCCCGTGTTTTAATTGTCCAGTTAACATTTTGTTATGTAATCTTGAAAATGTAACTTCTTGGTTTAAAAACTGTTTTGACAATCACCTCTCCCAGCACAGATCCATTCTCGTCTCCTCCTCTGTAGATAAATAAATGTTAAGAATTTCATGTGTAGCCTTTCAGGCTTTTTTTTTTTTTTTTTTTTTAAAGTATCACATCCTTTAAAAGGAGATTGGAGGCTCTGTTCTTTCTTTGTAATATAATATGCATGTCTGTTTCATATAAATGACAATGAAATAAGTATCGATTTTTGTGACTACTTAGAAATAGGTTATTTAGGTTACAGTAATGTTAAATAATTCATATTCATTTGGTATGCTCAGAAGGTCAGTGTTTTTTGCAGTTTTAACTTCAGTGTGAAGCAAGTTTTTTTCCTTGACTAGTAAATTATAATGAATAATTCTTTAATCCGTTTACTCTCAATTAAAAGGTTTTTGAGATTGAAGGGGAAAAAAGCCATTTGAAAGATCCCTTTGGAGATCTTTTTTGGCCATCCAGCCCTTAAATGTCACACGAAAGCAGTACAGGACAGGAATGAGGATTTAAAGTCTAAATTTAATCACTTTTGATTTACACTCTACTGGAGTTTCGTGCTAATCTTTTCTAATTATTCTTAGTTGATTATTGTATTGTAGAAAAATGTCCATCAAAAGGAAGAAAGAGTGGCTTCCTATCTTTACAATTTTTAACGGTTTAACATTATTAATTTGTGGCTATTAAATGAAATATCTTAAGGTTTAGTCATGCAGACCACTACTCTTTCCATGGAAGATGTCCAGACCTGGAAGAGAGAGAAGCGAGAGGTAGATAACGATTTCAATAAAAATGAAAATCTTAGCAAGATTTTCATACCCGGGCTAGTGCTCAGTTTATTGTCATTTACTCTTGTAAAATGCTCCTTCCTATGAAAGGTGAGCATTAGCCAGGCTGTTAGAGTGTTCTCATTAGTTTTTCCCTTTTTCCCTCAGGAAACTTACATACTAGAATGACAGAGCTACCTAATTGACAGAACCATATGTTTCTTTAAGACTTACTTTTAGAGGGGCGCCTGGGTGGCTCAGTTGTTAAGCATCTGCCTTTGGCTCAGGTCATGTTCCCAGGGTCCTGGGATCGAGCCCAGGTCATGTTCCCAGGGTCCTGGGATCGAGCCTAGGTCATGTTCCCAGGGTCCTGGGATCGAGCCCCGCATCAGGCTCCTTGCTCTGTGGGGAGCCTGCTTCTCCCTCTTCCACTCCCCCTGCTTGTGTTCCCTCTCTTGCTGTGTCTCTCGCTGTCAAATAAATAAATAAAATCTTTAAAAATAAATAAATAAATAAAAATTAAAAAACAAAAAAACAAGACTTACTTTTAGAGAGCAGAATTTAAGATCACTCTTTAGGTATAATTTCACAATCATTGTTCTAAGTCATGTCAACCTGTATGTACCCGATGTTGAAAACATTCATTCTTCTTGATTTTCAGTTAGCAGTGTGCATGAAATGCTAAATGGGGAAGTTTGGAAATACAGTTAAATCTGTGCTATAACAAGTTTGCAGTGGGTTTTCTTGCAATTGGTGAGATTATGAGGAAACCGTAACTCTGAGGAAATTTTAAAAATTATCTTAATGAAGTAGAATAGGTCTCTTTAAAAATATAGGTTACGTACTTCAGTGTCTTCATTTATAAGAATATACTTTAAAGTTTCTGCATTTTGGAGGAGTACCTTTATTAACTAGAATTGGAATTTGATTTGTTTTATGTTGGTATAATATGCAAAAGTACATGTGGTTTCATGGCTGAATTGTAATTAAATGGCAGATCTTGAACTTTGGGGAATATACACCATGGCGGAGGCTTCTTGGCCATTTGCCAGTCTTCTGTGTGAAGTTATACAGAGCTGCAAGTGTGTGGACACTCAGAGCTTCTGAAATGCAGGAAGGGAACTGCAGCTGGTCACATTACTGTATTATTTGTAGGTTTAAGAACAAAATGCCAGGGAATCACCCTGGAGGATTATACTGATGCCTTAAAAGAAATCTGCAATAGTTGCAAACTGATAAAGCTGTAGTCTAAATTAACATTTTCCTCACACCTCAGCATGATTAGGAAAAAAATGAAAAAGGATTTCTTCTTTCTGTATGAATGTGTATGTGTGTTATTTTCTAGTATGCTTCAGTAATTTCACTTCAGTTCATCAAGTTTCCTTGCACATAAGTTTCTTATGGTTAGACTCAGTGATTTGCTTCCGAGATAAAATATTGGTGCATTAGTTTTAACCTATTTGATTATTGTTATGCTTGTTATCAAAATCTTTTGACTTTATCTAATTTTAAAGCTCCTTTTCTATGTGCTCTCTGCTCTAAAGAAGTTGAAACATGTTCTGAGGCTTAGAGTTTGTCCTTACTTCCCCTTTCCAAGAGTCCCTGCCCTTTCCTATCTTAGCATATCCTTCGTGAAGTTACCACTGAACTCTCCCCCACTTCCCTCCTCCCAGCTTCAATTGTAGCTGGATGTAATCTCTCCTAAACTCATAGTTCTTAGGATACTTGTAATTTCCTGCTGCACGTTAGGTTATTTGTAAATGCCCTTGGGGACTGCAGGAACCATATATCAGATAACATCTTCCATAGTACTCAGTGTTTGGTGCAGAGTAGGCAATATGTTGTATTGTTGGAAAGATTGTATTTTGATTTATGTCTTCCAAAAATGGGGAAGGTTACACCAAATCTGTAATATTTGCCCTCTGATCATGTTGGAGGACTAAAGAACCACAGAACATCTTTCTCAAAGAAGACGTAAATCGTGGCTTGTGTGAGCTATTTCATTTACCTCCCAGGAGGGACACTCTGCTGCAGAGCAGTTCCCTTCACTTCTCACATAAACAGGACATCCGGAAGAAGCACGTATTGACCAAACAGAACAACATAAAATGGGTCACTGTTTCAAAAGAGGGAAAGCAATACCAAAAGGAGTCATTTTGATTTGACACAAACCTACTCCTAAAGGAGACTTTCATTTTTATAGAAATTCATTTTATTAACTAGAATTGGAATTTGATTTGTGAAGATTTCTATAAAATGAATTTCTATAAAAATGAAAATCTCCTCAAGATGTTCACACAAGGGCTAGTGTTCACTTTTATTATGTGTTAAGTAGTATTTCCTTTCCTCCCACCCCAACTTCTCTCTCCAGTCAGTAAAAATGTAATTGTATGTAGTATACATTATTGTATCAGAAAGAAACTATGATTAAAATTAGGAACTTTTATCTGATTTCTTACATAGACATTTGGAATTAATAGTTTAAAATGCTGAACAGAAAACTTCTGACATCTGACATAGTCTTGTCGACGCTGATCCGATAATCAATAGTAACCGAATTTCTGAGAATACAAAAATACAAAAGGAATATTAAAACTAAATAAAATAAAATGAAAAATATAAAATTAAACTACTAGGCAGGGTAATATTTTAAGGCACTATATCAAACAAAGACATATTATGAAATGTGAATCAATTTGTCTAGAAAAAAGACTTGTATTTCAGATTTTTTTTAAAAAGATTTATTTATTTTAGAGAGAGTTCGGGGCGGGGGGAGGGAGTGGAGGAGCAGAGGGAGAGGGAGAAACTCAAGCAAATGAGCCCCACATGGGGCTCAATTCTGAGACCCTGAGATCACAACCTGGGTTGAAACCAAGAGTCAGATGCTTAACTGACTGTGCCATGCAGGCACCCCTGTATTTCAGATTTTAAACACCTGTAACAAATACCAGTTTTAACTAAAACTAATAAAAATAAAGTTCTTAGTTTTGGACTTAAATTGATACCGAATCATTTTCAAAGGAAATTATGATTAAATATTAAAAAGGAGGGGAAAAAAGTTAAAAAAAAAAAATGGAGCACCTGGGTGGTTCACTGGGTTCAGTATGGAACTCTTGATTTCGGCTCAGGTCATGATCTCAGGGTCGTGAGTTTGAGCCCTATGTTGGGCTCTGCGATGGATGTGGATGGAGCCTGCCTAAGGTTCTCTCTCTGCCACCCCCTGCCCCGCCTTGTTCGCTCGTGCGTACACACGCTCGCTCTCAAAAGAGAAAAGTAAAAGGGAAAATCTTTAGACTATCTTTATAAACAATTTGGGTACAAATCTTCAGTGTTGTAAAGATTAGAGAACAGGAAGAGTTTTGTTTATTTAAAAACAGTATTTTTGAAGTTTAAAAAGAACTTTTTCAGTAGAGGTGGTCTGAAAACATGAAAGGCTCTTCCTTAATAAGCTAGTACTTGTCTGCTTTCAACAAAGGATATAGGTTTTCTGGGGCGCCTGGGTGGCTCAGTTGGTTAAGTGACTGCCTTCGGCTCAGGTCATGATCCTGGAGTCCTGGGGTCCTGGGGTCGGGGCTCCCTGCTCGGCAGGGAGTCTACTTCTCCTTCTGACCTTCCCCCCTCTTGTGCTCTCTCTCTCTAATTCTCTCTCTCAAATAAATAAAATCTTTAAAAAAAAAAAAAGGATATAGGTTTTCTCTGCAGTTGTTGTTCTAATTTTCCAGAATTGGCTTATTTGATGGCAGTACATCAGAATTTAGTAAAAGAGAATTT